TTCTACTTGTTTCGATAAGTGAGATTGGGTGTGTGTCTGTAAGGTCATGTGACCAAACAATCTTTTTTGATAGCAAGGTAATTGCCAATTGCTTCCAAAATTTAGGAACTTGGCTTGATAAGAGTGAGTTATTGAATAGGGTTTTTAAGTGTTTTTTAGCTGTTATACTAATATGGGTCCAGGTTTCGTATAAGATGAGAGTAAGTCCAGGTGCCTTTCGCTTGGGCAGATTGACAAAAGCTTCCTCCATCTCTAGATTTGAGATAGGTAATGTAAGATTGTTAAAAACATTGTTAGGGATGTGGTTGAGTGGTTGGTAGAAGGCATTCCATTCATTATTCAAAAGGAAAGGTTTTGGATCTAAGATTTTTTTGAAGTGATTAGAGATAATGGCTGTGAGCTCATCCGGATCATCATGAAGTTGATCGTCACTACTATAAGTATTGAGAGGTCGAGAGAAGGCTTTAGGTCACCTAATGCTTTTTTAAGAGCATTTTTTAGTCTGGCCCAGAATCTATAATAATTTGATTTGATTTTTTTCTGTATTTCCAAAGTAATGATTTCATTAAGTTTGGCTAACTTTTTTTTGATTAAAATTTTTAACAATTTTTTGAAATCTTTGGTGCATGGGGACTTGCTGGTGATTTTTTAGAGAGCTGCATCTGCGATTTTTGGAAGTTTGAAAAAGGAATTGTTGTTATAATTGTTTTTGCTTTTGTTAATTGCTTTTTTTGTGGCTTTTATGGCTCTAGTATAGTATTTCAAAGGATTAATATTTCGTATAAGGACTGTATATGATCTTTTTGGAATGTTGTTATCGAGGGAAGTTTTAATAATGTTATTCATATACTAAGTCTTTTCTCTGTAAAAATTGAATCAACAATTAATAAAGATCACAATTTGAGAAGTGCCTCACAAAAAAAAAAAAAAAAAAAATTTATAACTCAATAGTGTAATATACACCTCTCTTTGTCAAGAAGAGTTAAATGCCAGGCTCACTGAAGGCCCTTCTGCTTAAGCTCCTTGGTACTACTCAAGAATATAAGAAAAAGAAATTTAAAACCTATATTATGCCTTGAATGGCATCTAGCTTTCTAAAAGAATTTGAAACCTAACTATATGAAGGCACTGCAGCCACTATATACAGGTTGGCCTCCAAGTCATGATTATGATTGGCAAGCTTGCTTTTCAAATGTGACTTGATGTACAGCAAGCCAAATATGTTCCACCTTATACTTCACCTGAATAACTTGCTTAATTAGTTAAGTGATCACTACTCCAGTTAGAACATCCAGTAGAAATTAGTCTTTTATCTGACTATCTAGTATATGACCTTCTTTACCTTTCTAGGATAGCAGCAGATTACAGGTTACTTAATCCTGTGACAGTTGCCTGCACCTGTGGCAAGTAGGAAAGGGGACAGCTGCTTTCACTAGAAGCTTTACACATATAGCCACATCATTTAAGCAATCAAGTAGAATCCAGCACAAGTATAGGGCAGGGGAAGATGAAGAAGAAGTGTTTAGACATGTAATAGTGGTTGTTAGTAGTTGTTATTAGATATTATGAAGTTGGGGTTTCTTATAGATGTTATTACCTAATCTTATACAATAAGCCTATATTGTCAGAGAGATGAGCAAGGAACTTTTGTTGTTATTACCAGCTCGTGTTGTAGGGATAACTAGAATCTCTGGTCTTTATGTATTGTGACGGGCAAACGGCGAATCTGTCGCTAATGCCAACAGGGTTCACGTAACCATCACTCGTGTTTCTTTAATTAAAATAGGTGATTTGAGGCACACGATTCAGCCGAGTCTTTCTCACTTCTTGTATACGCACACCCTTTATTAACAACATTTTCTCACTTATTTATACATTTTCTCGTCTAACTATATGAGTTACAGAATGACGATTTTAAGCATTATTACTTGATGATGGACAATCTCACAATGTTATTGTCATTGCTTACAGTCATTAACTTGACTAGTCATAACAGGATCGGATTTTGTCATCCCCCGTAGATCGATCACGTGTCGACGTAGCATCATTGTTTGTTGTGGAGCGCGTACAATCTTCTATCATCGTTGCTCACTTTCGTCACATTAATTACATGTCTATGGTCTTATTATCGTGACACTTGCTAATGTTAGACTGATATTTTATTATTGACTATTTTTATTTTACCCCTTACATTTTTCCCCCGCACTTATCTTATGCGTACTACGCATTAAGATTCAATTAATCAGGCATGTCTTTCATAGTACTTCTTTAGGATGCGGGCATTGATTGGAGCAGCAAGTAACTTCCCATCTATCGTCCATAGCCGATACACATCTCCGGATAAATGATCGTGGATATAAAATAGCCCATACCATTTAGGATCAAACTTGTTGCTCCTCGAATGTTCAAGAGCCGCTTGGTATAGCAATACCTTTTCTTCTATGTCGAATTCCTGGGTTTTTCTGAATCATTCGTCGTGGTAAGCCTTCTGTTGTCCTTGTACCTCTTGTATATTGTGTACTGCCATATTTCGTGTTTGGGGTAGATGATTCACAAGCTCGAAAATTCTATGGAGGATCGTTCTTTCTAATATAGCGTCGGAGGTGCTTGGGTATAACGGCAATCGCGCTTCTCGTCCGTATACTAAGTAGAATGGAGACATCTTCGTAGTTGAGTTCTTTGCTGTACAGTATGCAAATAGAACTGGGGGTACATATAGGTCCCAGTCAGTCGTACGTTCGACTACCTTAGCTATAGATTTGCATAAGGTCCGGTTAAAATGTTCTGTTAGACCGTTTGTTTGAGGATGGTAGGGGGTCATTAGTTGGTGTTTCGTCTTGATCTTTTTTATTAACTCACTGATCACGTGATTTCGGAAGTGGGTGCCTCTATCCGAAACGAGGTATTGTAGGCAACCGTGTCTACAGATGATTTCGTAGTATATAAATTCGGTGGTAGTAGCTGTGTCGGCTTTCTTCACAGCCTTCGCCTCCGGCCACTTCGTTAGGTAATCAACAGCGACAATTATGTAACGATTATGTCTCGGGGTTTGGGGTAGAAGGCCAACAAAATCTATACCAATTCGATGAAACGGGGCAGAGGCGGGGATGGGGTGCAAAGGACCTACTGTACACTTCTTTCCCTGCCGTTGGCACTTGTCACAGCAATTCATGTATTCCCTGATATCCGCGTACATCTGGGGCCAATAATAGGTGTCGCAGATCTTCTCAAACATCTTATATTTTCCGAGGTGGGCTCCTATCGGATGTTGATGTGCTAGGTAAAGTATTGGCTCTACTTCGTATTTTTGTATTATCTGTATTCTATAGTTTATCTTTTTCTTGTCCTTTTTATACAATATCCCGTCTTTGTACTCGTAAAATTTACTTTTCTTTTGTAATCGTTGTTGGTCAACTTTGTTTAGTTTGGTTGGTAATTTCTGTGTTTGTAGGTATGTTTTAAGGTGATTATAGTATGTCGGATCCATGATTCTGTTCTTGAGTTGTCTGTAGTAACGATAAGTTGTCTTTAGTAATGATAAATTGTCTTCTTACGCCAGGACACCGGAACCTGGGCTGGATTCTGTTCCTCAGATTTTTTTTTTTTTTTTTTACTTCTTAAAGGCGAGACAACGCGTCAGCGTTGTTATGCTTTCGTCCGTTTCGATGCTGGATAGTAAAGTTATACGGTTGTAGACAGAGCATCCACCGAGCTCGTCTTCCGGTAAGTTTCGAAGTTCTTAGCCACTACAAGGCCATATGGTCAGTTACGATGACGAAAGGGTTCAACCCGTAATAATGATAAAAATATTTTACGGCCCACAGGATAGCCAAACACTCTAGCTCCGTCGCTGCATAATTCTTATCATGTATGGTTAACCATCGACTCACGTAAAATACAACATATTCCTTTTCATCGTCATCTTTTTGCACAAGCACAGCCCCGAGGCTATGTCCGGACGCGTCCGTGTGAATATAGAAGGTTCTGTTAAAGTCTGGGTAACGCAAGATAGGGGCAGTCACGAGGTGCCTCTTTAGTGTTTCGAATGCCTGGTTTTGCTCGCTTCCCTAACGAAATTCAACACTCTTTTTTAATAGGTGGTGTAGTGGTTTAGCAATCATCGCAAACCCCTTTATAAAGCGCCGATAATAAGAAGATAAACCAATAAAGCCTCGTATTTATTTGAGGTTTTTCGGTCTTGATCTTGTCAATCTTGGATTCGTCAGGTCAGATACCTTCTCTGCCGATGATATGTCCCAAAAACTGGAGGTTAGGTCGAAAAAATGTGCATTTCTCTAGGTTGAGCTTTAAGCCTGCATTTCTTAGTTTCTGGAAAATCTCTTCTACGTGTTCTAGGTGTTCTCGAAACGTCCCAGAATAAATTATGATGTCGTCGAGATATACGACAACAAACTTTCCCACATGCGCGGATAACACTCTGTCCATCAGACGTTGAAACGTAGCTGGGGCATTACACAGCCCAAACGGCATCACGTTGAACTCATACATTCCTTAGATCGTTACAAACGCTGTCTTTTCTTTGTCCTTTTTTTCTACCGCGACTTGTCAGTAACCGCTCATCAGGTCTAAGGTAGTAAACCAATTCGCCTGGGAGAACGTTTCCAACAGATTGTCGATGCGTGGCAAAGGGTAGGCATCCTTCTTTGTTATTGCATTTAACTTTCGATAGTCCACGCATAATCTTAACTTTCCCACCTTTTTCAGTACCACTACTATAGGGGAGGACCAAGGGCTTTGTGACTTCCAGATCAACCCTCGATCTATTAGTTTCGATATCTCATCTTTAATGAACTCTCTTACTCCTGGGGGTGCTCGGTACGCTGATTGTTTGATTGGTGTGACTTCTTCTGTGTTTATCGTATGACGAATCCTATCCGTTTGACCTAATTCTTCCATGTTTCTTGCAAAGATATGCTCATTGCTTTTTAGTAGCATTTTTACCTCTTCCTTTTTTTTCTGGTCCAATTCGTCACCAACCTCTACTTGTCGAATTGTTCCTTCAAGGTAATCTCTGATTCTTCTGTCGTTATAGGTAGTTCCTCTACCTGTACTAGATATACGGCCAGGCCCGGTACTTCTTTATCTATGTTGTTCAATGTTTCTTCGTTAGTGAAATACCCCTTTGTATCTTCTATCTGTTCTTCCTCGTATTGTAATTGTTTCATCAATTCTTCATCAGGGTCTATAACGTCATCTCCATCCACGTCAGAATCTTCGTCATTATTATTGTAAATAGGGGCTTCCACAACCTTCCCTAGATAACGTAAGATTTTTTTCCTTTCATTGTAGTAAATGCGTGCTTTGACCTTCTCAAACCAGTCATTACCTAACAATAAGGTTTCGTCTCTAGAATCGATCACTTGGAAAGTGCATGGGATGTCAATACCTCGAACCGAAACCTTTACATTGGTGACATTCCCTAATGTTCTCGAACATGTCCCCGTAATAGTAACGACTGCAATTGTTGATTTCTCATTTATTTTTAAGTTCAATCGATCCATCAATCTTTTCGTGATGAAACTTACAGCTGCACCAGTATCGATCACAGCTGCTATGGTTTGATCACGGATTTTGATGCGGCATCGCATGGTGGTTGTCCTTTTATTATTGATACTTGCAAACATTGTTGCCTCTGAAATTGTAGGTCTACACAAGGCTTTTGAGAGGTTCTTCTTTTGTTCTGTGTATTGTAACATCTGCCCGAGTGTGACGTTTGCTGGAGTTGTGAATAGGTCGTCAACAATGTTGTATGATAGTTCCGATTCGATTCTCGAGGGTTTCTTTTTCTTTCGTGTAGTCTTTTTTTGTGCTTTGGGTGGTTCTTTCATTATTTCCGATAGGTCTTCCTCCATGATTTCTTCACTTGAAGGTTTGTATTTCCACGGATTGTTCGTCATCATTCCTTTGGTTCCTTAAGCAACCTTTCCACTCTGGCTTGATCCTGGGGTTATCTTTGGTGCGGTTATACAATCAATATCTTCTAGTTGTATAGTATATCTCATCCTCTTGTTCCACCATTTTCACAAAACATGCCTCGGTTTCTTGTTCCGTCGTTCATGTAGATAGGTTATTCCGTGAGTTTGTTCCCCCTGTCACACAATCTCGAGCGTAATGACCTTTCTTTCCGCACTTAAAGCAAGTTACATCATGGATATCTACTCTGTTTCTCATTCTAGGTCCAGCTTGGGACATCATTGTTGTGGTGAGCTTAGCGTAATTAGCTGCCAGCTCTTGCATCTGTTTGGTTAATTCTGTGATAGTTTCTTCTAGGGAAGTGGTTTTCGTTTCCTTTTCTGTTGTCATTCCATAGTATTCTCCGGCTTCAATCCTTTTTGCACCAGTAATCGCTTCTTTCAGATTTCTGGGGTCAACTACTGATAGGAGTGAGACTGTTTTCCCTTTCAATCCTCCGGTGAACATTCGTACTACGTACGTTTGCGGTAGTTCATTCTCAGGGTCTACTTTTTTTAACAGTCTTCTAAATTTGTAGGCATAGGTACCCACTCGTTCTCCGTCTCGTTGGCGCAAGGTATTTAGTTCCACTTGCCATTGGTGTTTTCGTTCTGGAGTGACGAAGTATTGAAGGAATGAAGGTACGAAGTTTCTGTCAGGGTTTCCATTGTCGTTTTATTGTGTAATAACATGTCTCCTATCGTAACCCGAAGCGATATTGATTTTCCGTCGATTACTTCAGTTATTGGTGTTGGCGGCTCGCCCAAATGCTTCCAGCCACTCGAACGGATCCTCATTATCTTCACCGTAAAAGGTTCACACTCTAACTAAATTACTTTCTCTTCCTTCCCCTTCAGGAGCATTTCTACCTCTGGCTTCTCAAAACGCATTCGCGATCTCCTGCAGGATACCGTTTATTTGGTTCAGATTCATCCGTACATCTTCTTCGTCTGTGAGTGTTCTGGCATCACTTTCTCGGTCATTATATTGCTCGTCCATAATGTAATTTATCTTTTATCCAATTGTTCAAGTCAAATTTCAGGCAGTTTTCTCTCGTCCTACCTTAGACGAGTCTTAAAATGTGAAATGAATAAGTAAATCATTAAAACGATAAAAAGAAAAAAAATCGGGAGGGGAGGGGAGGTACTGGAGCGTCCAATCTCACAGTCACCACCAAAAATGTGACGGGCAAACGGCGAGTCTGTCGTTAATGCCAACAGGGTTCGTGTAACCATCATTCGTGTTTCTTTAATTAAAATAGGTGATTTGAGACACATGATTCAGCCAAGTCTTTCTCACTTCTTGTACACGCACACCCTTTATTAACAACATTTTCTCACTTATTTATACATTTTCTCGTCTAACTATATGAGTTACAGATGACGATTTTAAGCATTATTACTTGATGATGGACAATCTCACAATGTCATTGTCTTTGCTTACAGTCATTAACTTGACTAGTCGTGACAGGATCGGATCTCGTCATCCCCTGTAGATCGATCACGTGTCGACATAGCATCATTGTTTGTTGTGGGATGCATACGATCTTCTATCATCGTTGCTCACTTTTGTTACGTTAATTACATGTCTATGGTCTTATTATCATGACACTTGCTAATGTTAGACTGATATTTTATTATTGACTATTTTTATTTTACCCCTTACAGTATTATCCTACTAAGTTTCTTTAATCACTAGTATAACACCTGCAAACTAACCTGGCTTATTGTTAATTGCATTGACATTGGCTGCCATATCCCTCTGGATACAGTGGGGCGCAACTTTTTGGATACTTTCAGATAATAATAGTTATACACTGGTTTCTTAAATGTATTTAGTCTAACTATTAACAAGTAAACAATATCAAATTTGATAATGATGACTATATCGATCTTTTGAAGGAAGTAAACCATCCATTTTTTTTCTGTAAAACCATAAAAGAGAAAAAAATTCTGAAGCCTATATCTTGAGAGAAGTTACAACTTCTGAATATAATCTTGAGAAAAGGGAGTCAACTGGTTAGGGAGTTGATATTATGCAGAGTAAGTTTATAAAAGAAAGAGAAGCCTAGAAAGAAAACCTCCAAAAAGGAGGAAAAACTGAACTTCAGCAGAGAAGGGGAAAAAGAAAGAAGAAGGAATAAGTTTTAACTAAAAGAGTATATATAAAAGAGTGGTGAAAATAGGAGAGAGGGAATAAAAAAGATATGGGAAAGGGAAAGTAAAGAAAAGGAGAAAAGAAAGAACGAAGAGAAAAAAGTAAACACTCAAAAGTTTCCTAAAAAGAAAATTTTCAAGTGTGGAAGAGGGAGTGAGAAAGAGTTTTTTTTCAAAACCCCTTTAAAACTGATTTTGTTTATTATTGCTTTTAGATAATAAAGTGAATATTTGGGAAGTTTGATAATAGTATTAATAGTTTAATAATAATTTGTATATTATTAAATATATAAAAGAGATTGTTAACTAGTTTTTTAGTATCAGCCCTAAGTGTTTTTTTTATTGTTTATTATCTCTGATTTCTTGAAGTTCTGTTTGGACTTGTTGTTTAAAGGAGAATGACTAAACATATGGCATGGTGCTTATTTATCGACAGCACTGTCTGCAGCAGCTAGACTTTTATAGCTGAAGTACAAAAAATATGCATATTGTTGGTGGGGAACTGATGTGAGGTGTGACCGCACAAATACATTCTGGCATGTCACGTACTGTTACACTTGATTTTTGCCCAAGATCTTTACTATTCCTTGACCGATTTTCACTAACATTGACCCTTGAAATGTTAGTTATTCTAGAATAGTCTTGTATTACAGATCTGTTACTGCACCTTCAGCATCTATTGTATCTATTGCATCTTTACCATTTCTAGAATATTTCTATTTTATTTTATCTTTACTTTCTATATTATCTTCGCCAAAGTATTTATCTATGTAAATGCTACTATAGTTGAATATTCTGACAAAAATAGTATTTATATCTTAGCTTATATTTTTACCATAACATATATTTATCCTATATGAAAATATTATAACTCAAACATGTATATAAAGGCTCCAATTTTGCCTAGGAATTGGTAGGCTTAAACTTATATTTATTTAATAAATATCTTGACCTTTACAAAACAAATTACTATTGCCTCTTTCACTTGACCTCATATACCTCAGAATTGTACTAATTTGTACACCTCTAGGAACTTTAGCACATCACATTGGCCCTGTCCATCTAAAGTGACTCCCTGCTACTGATTCTTCGTCTTTATCTTTCTCTTAAGATAGAAACGATATATGATACTATATTGCTATAAGACTAGTTATGTCAACTACTTATAATCCAACTATATATTTATTTAAACACCTGGAGATATATTTATACATCAGGTAAAACTTTCTATAATAGAAATCCTATTAATAGTTTAAAACCCATATAATCTACTAAGTCTAAATTGCAAAGAACAATATAGTATAAGATATTATTATAGAGATCAATCCTAATTATTTTAATTATTTGTTATTACTGATACTCAGGATTAAGGATTTTAATGATTCTCTTTGATTTTGTATTTAATTTTCAAGTTTATATTAAATTTAATAAGTGGGGTATACTTTTTCATCATTTTTAATAGTATTTCAAGCCTTATATGATTTCCTGTAATTCTATTTAATTTCAATTTTCAGAATTATACTCAGGATATATCACTAGTATAATACAGTACTACTATTTTTATTATCTATAAAACTGGTGTTTTTGTTTGGATTCTGATTTAATATTAATGATCCTTATCAGATATACTTGATCTTAACAATTTTTGCTTGGATTGTCATCACCTATAGCTGATAACCTTTTGTTTTTTCAGTTCATTTAAATTTATAAGAATACTACTTTTGAAATAGATTCTTAAGCTTCAGATTGTGATAGATCAGTTTAGAATTAACTTCTTTGAATTGTATAACAAAATCTGCTGTTGGCAATTTGGATTAAGTTTTTGTAAGCTTTTACTAGAGTTAAACTAGAAGCTTTTTTTTTGATAACTTTTTGTGTTTTGACTTGTTTTTAGCTTGTAATTGTTAAAAAGACCAGAAATTTTATCTTTATGTAGCCTAACTGAATTTGGATGTGATTAAGGATTATTAAGTATGACATATATAGGATATTCAATAAACCTATATATGAAGGTAAATATACTTTTTTGCCTTTTGTGAATATTAAACTAGAAATATGCATTTGATAATCTGGAAATACTACCTACTGTACTATTAATTTACAGGTCTTTAATTTATTGAATTATGTTATATTTTAATTTTGAATATTTATACAAATTTATTTTGATATAATTATTTTAAATATTATTATGAAAAATATTTTAATTATAAATATTTATAAGAATATATAATAGAAAAAATTATGATAAAATAATAATTAAAAATTTTTTAATAAAATAATCAAAACATTTAATAATAATAATAAAATTTTTTTTTAAAAATTACAAATAGGTATTAAATATGAAATTTTTATTAAACAGATTGTTTATTATCATTATATTAACAATTTTTTATATAAAAAATTAATAATTATAATCTATTGTAACTTTTATGAATAATAAAAAACTTTTTTAAATATTTTAATATAATTGATAAATTTTTTATAATAAATTTTTATGATCTTATTTGAAAAAATATTACTTTAAAATTAATAAATTTTAAAACTTATAAACAATATAATATCTTTATAAATTATGAAAAAGATTTTATAAAAAAAAAATATTTATTTTCTAAACTTTAATTAAATTATTTATTTATTTTATTAAGTATTTTTCTTTTAAACTTTTTTTAAAAATTTTTATTAAAACAAAATAAATTTAAAATTAACAAAAATAATAAAAAATTAAAATTTATATTTTATTAATTGAAAAACATTTTCTAAAGGAAATTTTCTATTAATATATTATATCAATCAAAATTCAAATAAAAAAAAACTTTATAATTTACAATCTTATATAATATAAATCCAGATATAAAAATTTTAATATATGGATATACATATTGTTTTATTGTTTTTACTGATTTATTGAATTCTAATTGTGATTATTGTTTTTAATATTATAAATTGTCAATTGAAAAACCATTAAAATCTTATAATTCTCAATTAACTTTTGAAAAAAATAATTAAAAAAATAATGATAATGATGATAATATTGATAATAATATTGAAAATATTGAAGAAATTAATAATAATAAATTTTTTAAAAATATTAATTTAAATAAAAATAATTTTAATGATAAGTTAATAATAGTCATTAATGATTTTAATTAATTAATAAATAAATAATTATTATTATTAAATTTTTTAAAAATTTCTATTAATTTATCAGAAAATATAAGTCATGATAATAAAAAATCTTATTTTTCTAATAAGAAAAAAAATTCATATTTTGCTAATTCAATTAAGAAAAAATAATTTTTTTACTTTATTATTTACTATTATTATTATTATTATTTATTTATTATTATTATTATTATTTATTTATTTATTTTTATTAATAAATATTGAAATTTCTATATTTAAAATTTTAATTAAAACAATGATAACTCCATAAGATATTTATAATGATCAATAATTTCGCGAATTTGTGACAATTCTATTTTTTTTATAATTTGTCGAAAACTAGTGATTTTATTTAGATAAAATTTTAATATATTATAAATAGATAAATTTATATAACATCAAATTATTATTTAAATTATTTTGCTAATTTTTGAGAAATTTTATTTAAACGATAAAAAATTATCTGGTCGGTCACTTTCTAGCATATATTAAACATGTGATATA